TCCCCTTTCCCCTTTTCTCCCCATAAAACATCTCCAAAATTCCCCTTTCCCCCTAAAAAGACTCCCAAAAATTCCACCTTTCCCTTTTTTCCCTATAAAACATCCCCAAAACGCCCCTTTTCCCCCGTTTTTCCCCCTAAAAAAGCTCCCCCACAGCGCCTTTTCCACGTTTTCCCCCCAAAAATGATCCCCAAAAATCCCTTTTCCCGTTTTCCCCTAAAAAATCGCCCCCGCCCCTCCCCCGCTGCCCCCAAAGCTTCGGGAATTTGGGATTTGGAAAATCGGGAGACAAACCTGGACCCCCCATCCCAAACCCGGGCCTGTCCCCAATTCCCAGCGCGGCTTTGGGGTTTGTTTGGGGTTTTTTTGGGATTTCCCTCATTTTCCCCATTCCCCACCCCTCAGCCGTGACCCCAAAAGCGCTCCCGGAGGGTCGGGGTTTTTTAGGGATTCTCCCTTTTTTTTTTTTCTCCCGTTTTTTCCCCATTTTTCCTCTCCTCCGCTCCCTCCGGCCGCTCCTGCCGCCGCTGCCTCTTCCCGGTTTTTTTTTTTTTATGGGATATTTACATGTTTATGGCCTTTTCTTTTAAAAGCTCCGGCACCCAATAAAACATTCGGGATTTCGCTGCTACCCCTAGCGGCCTGACCCCACATCGGCGCCGCTTCCCCCGGGGGAACCCCAAATTCACACCCCAAACCCCCCAAAATCACCCCAAAAAATATCCCAAAAAATCCCCCAAAAATCCCAAAGAATTCTCCGTTCCAGGACCCGAGCGGAGCTGTCGGGGCTCAGGGAAGGCACCAACCCCGAATTCCCAGGGAAAACCCTCCCAAAACCCCTCCAGAACACCTCAAACCGCCCAAAACCCCCAAAATCCCTCCAGAACACCCCAAAACACCCCAAAATCCCTCCAGAACACCTCAAACCTCCCCCAAAACCCCTCCAGAGCACCTCAAAATCCCCAAAAAAACCTTCCAAAACCCCTCCAGAACACTCCAACCCCCCCCCAAAACCCCAAATCCCTCCAGAACACCCCAAAAACCCCCAAAAACCCCAAATCTCCTTTCTTGGACGTTCCCACCGCTGCCAGGGTTCAGGGCTGACACCGACCCCGCCGAACCCCAAATTTTCCCCAAAAACCCCAAAAAAGCCCCGGGTTTTAGGAGCTGCCAGCGCTGTCAGGGTTCAGGGAAGACGCCAAACCCAGCGAACCCCAAATTCCCAGAGGAAACCCCTCCAAAATACCCCAAAACCCCCCAAAACCCCTCAAAAACACCCCCGAAAACCTACAAAAACCCCTCCAAAACCCCAAAATTCGTCTCTTTAGCACCTGACATGCGCTGCCGGGGTGCAGGGGCGCCACCACCCCAAATTCCCAGAGGAAACCCCTCCAAAATACCCCAAAACCCCCCAAAACCCCTCAAAAACACCCCCGAAAACCTACAAAAACCCCTCCAAAACCCCCTCCAAAACCCCAAAATTGGCTTCTTTAGCACCTGACAGGCGCTGCCGGGGTTCAGGGGTGCCACCACCCCAAATTCCCAGGGCATACCCCTCCAAAAGACCCCTCCAAAACCCCAAATCCCCCCGAAACACCCCAAAACCCCCCAGAAAACCCCAATTTTCCCCTTTTTAGGACTCGAGCGCAGCTGCCAAGGTTCGGGGCTGCCACCAGCCCTGCTGCGTCCCCTTTATTCCCAGGGAAACCCTTCCAATCCCCCCTAAAACATCCCTCGAAACCCCCCAAACCCTTCCGAAAGCCCCAAAACCCCCCCAAAATCCCCCAAAAAACCCAAATCCGCCTTTTTTCCAACCTGACCAGCTCCGCCAGCACTGGGGGCTGACACCAACCCCGCCACGTCCCCCTTCTCCCCAGGAACCCCAAAAAAATCCTTCCAAACCCCCCGAAAAAAAAACCCAGAACACGCCCACCCTCCCAAAACCACCCCAAAACCCTCGAAACCCCATTTCAAAACCCCCAAAAACCCCAAAAAATCCCATTTCCAGCCTCTCATCGCTGCATGCGAGCAGAGGAGACACCAAGCCCGGCGCACCCCAAACTCCCAGGGCAAACCTTTCCAACACCCCCTGAAAACATCCCTCTAAAACCCCCAAAACCCCCCCAGAAAATCCCCAAAGCCTCCCAAAAAAACCCAAAACCCCCAAAACCCCCAAAACCCCAATTTCCAGGCGCTTCTCCAATCCTCCAGCGCTCAGCGGTGACACCAAGCCCAGCAAACCCCAAATTCCAGGGAAAACCCTCCCCAAACCCCTCCAACAGCCACCAAAAAAACCTCTAAAACCCCTCCAAACCTCCCAAAAAACCCAAAACCCCCGAAAAAAACCCCAAACCACCCCAAAATCCTCCATTTCCAGGCTCTCGCCACCTCCGCCAGCCTTTAGGGGTGACACCAACCCCGCCGCATCCTCTTTATTCCCAGGGAAAACCCTTCCAACACCGCTCCAATATCCACCCCAAAACCCCCCAAAAAAGCCCAAAACCTCCCGGAAAAACAGCAAAACCTCCCAAAAAACCCCAAAAATCCTCATTTCCCGGCTCTTACCCCCGCTCGCCGCCTTCAGGGGCGACACCAACCCCGCCGCATCCCCTTTATTCCCAGGGAAAACCCTTCCAAACACCGCTCCACTACCCGCCCCAAAACCCCAAAACAAACCCCAAAAAGACCTCAGAAGCCCCCCAAAAAAACCCCAAATCTCCCAAAACCCCATTTCCCGGATCTTACCTCCGCTCCCCGCGTTCAGCGGTGACACCAAACCCTGCACATCCCCTTTATTCCCAAGGAAAACCCTTCCAACACCGCTCCAATACCCACCCCAAAACCTCCCAAAAAACCCCAAAAAATAAAAAAAAATCCCCAAAAAACCCAAAAAATAAAAAAAAAATCCCCAAACCCCCCCAAACTCCCCCAAACCCCCCCCAAGCCCCCTTTCCCGGCTCTCACCTCCGCTCCCCGCGTTCCGCGGTGACACCAAGCCGGGCGCGTCCCCTTTATTCCCAAGGAAAACCCTTCCAACACCGCTCCAATACCCACCCCAAAACCCCCCAAAAAACCCCAAAAAATCCCCAAAAAAATCCCCCAACCCCCCTTTCCCGGCTCTCACCTCCGCTCCCCGCGTTCAGCGGTGACACCAAGCCGGGCGCGTCCCCTTTGCCGCCCTCGTTGAGCAGCGAGGATCCCGAGTCGGACTCCAGGGACTGGCAGGACGGGGGGTCCTGGCCCATCCCCTCGGGCCCGGGGTACTCGAACTTGCCGAAATTATTCCCCAAAGTGCCGGCGGCGGGCAGCGGCTCCAGCGGCAGCAGAGCCCCGTCCCTGCCCCGCTCCTTGTCGCCCTCCCGGTAGTAGCACTTGCCCTCGTCGGCGCGGGCGAGCTCGCAGGCGCGGCCGAAGCCCAGGTAGGGCTGCGCGTAGGGAGCGCAGGGCTCGCCGGGGGCCCAGGCGGGCAGGGACCCGAAATTGTCCCGGCGCGGGTACGGCAGGGATGGGAGGGCCGGGATTTGGCCGCCGGACGCGCGGAAATTGGGGAAGTAGAAGGCGTCGCCCGTGTGGATGTTGACGAGCGGCCCCACGAAGCCGGGGTTCAGCAGGTTGTGCTCGCCCATGGCCCGCGGGGAGGGGGCGCGCAGGGAGCCAATAAAGGGGGTCCGGGGGGCTCGGGCTGCGGCCCCGGCCCGGCCATGGAGCGCGGTTAAAAGGCTCGGCCCGAGCCCATTGGCCCCGGCGCCGCCGTCACGTGAGGCCGGGGGGTCCCCTCGGTGTCCCCTCCCCCCCCTCGGTGTCCCCTCCCCCCCCC